CCGGACGCAGGACCCGCCGTCGTTATTCGAGTTTTTTCTATATGCTGTTTATGGCTTGGCGAATGTCAGATGCTGCTGGTGGTGAAATCTCGGGGTGCATCTCATACAGATTACACATTTCGAATGTCCCCCTCCCCCTTTTTCGGTTTTATAAAACATCTTTGACTTAAAAGCGGGGCCTCTCGGGGGCTGTCGACATGGATGTATGTGTCGCACGCTAATAAACCCGAATTAAGGCGTGGGACGTGATCTGCATATAATTAGTGTCGGAGGGAGCTTTGCAACGGTTTTACAGGAAATAACGCCACAGCTGTCCCCTGCGGAGACCGAATCCCCATCGATGAAAAGCCCCCTGGGACCAGAGAGCCTTTGGTGCAGAATCTAGGGCATGGACTTGGAGTCTGTTTTGGGGAGCAGGTGGGCAGGGTGGAGGGCGAGAGTCACACTGCGAAGAAGGGGACCGAAGGACAGGTGAGGTGGGGGAGGGGGGCGGGTGCCTAGTAGGGCATCAGAACCGGCCAGATTTACGAAACCCTTCACCCGGCACTGCGGGTTTGTCCAGCGACCCTGTCCTGACGCTTGACCATGTGGGGGTTCCATACGCAGAGATGGGGGTGCAGTTCTACTTCTGGGGAGCTCGCCGTTTGGGGCAGAGGAACAAACTACACACAGCCCCTGAAGCAGCAGCATGTCGGGCCCCCCACTCTGCCTGGGTGGACAGGGGGCGCGTGGGAAGGGGCTTCCAGGAGATGGGACACCCCAGGCAGCAGGCGGAGCAGGGACTGAAGGGGACGAGGACCAAGAGCCCTGCAGACGTCAGCAGGGCCTGGTCTGGGGACAGAATGCAGACTCCTGGGGCACCGGAGTGTCTGGTGCATGTACCGTGGGGCAGAGTAGGGAGGTGGCCCTGGCCAGGCCCGGCGTGGTGCAGTTGCCTGGAGGGAGCTTGAACTTCACGAGGTACCCGGGGATTTTAAGGGGGGCCCTGTGACTGGGGACGGTGGGGGAAGAGGGGCTGGAGGTGGGCGAGGTTCGCTGAGGCCGTTCGCCGAGGAGCGCCTGGGTGTGAACTCGGTATCAGTAGCTCTTGGATGGTTGTGGTTGCTACCCTGAGATGTCGGGGAACTCGGAGTCTTACTGGGAAACGGGGCGCTGGTCCCTCCTGGTTCCCAGAGCCTCCGACTCTGCTCTGACCCAGGGAGTGTCTCCTGTTATTGAACTAGAGATGGCGTGTCACGTGACCAGCTCTCTAGGCCGCCACCTGAAAGCTGTTCTCTCACGTGAGTTATCGTCTTGTCCTGAGAACGAATACGTGTCACCCACTGGACGTGCCGGGACCACATTCTCGCGAAGTGAGTCCCTGTCACATTAACCTGACGAACCCCTAGCCCGTGGTGACATAACTCAACAGTGCCAAGACGTCCAGCGGGCGGTCAGGATCCTCCAAGAGCACAGACTGGGAGCAGCTAGTCGCCGTGGGAAGTGGGGACATCTGTCACTTGCTAATGAGGGGACAGAGACTGCCAAGAACAACCGCTTCAGCCCAGGACACACAGCGGGGCACGGGCATGCCCTGCTGGCGCTTCTGGAAGGATACGGAGTGGCACAGGATGTGAGGCTGGACGGACAGGTGGCCGCTCGGGCCAGCGGCGAGGTGAGCTCCCCCCTGCCCCCCACGGTGCCTCGGCTTTGGTAACGGAGCCGACCTGTCACCGGTCACTCAGCACCAGCCTGTCACACCTGGGCATGAACGTTAAACTTGAAAAAGAGGCATTTTTTTTTTTTTTTTAGTTTTGAGTAAACTCTTTTTATGGAGACAGGAATTCATTATGTCTTATGCCTCCAATTGGGTGACCACACATTTAGAAATTTAAAAACTGCTTTACAAAGTGTCTAGTTGCAACGTGGCCAGAGGCCGGGACTCCGAGGCAGCGACTGACCTTCTTTACGTCCCTGACCAGCAGATGCAGGGTGTTCGGGGGGCCCAATCGCTGCAAGGGAAACATGCAGCTGCGTTAGAGACTTGTCCCTCCTGGACCCAGAGCAAAACCCCACCGCACGCGGCGGAATGAACGCATCGATGGAGCGTGAAGATAGTAAGTCACCGTCGGCCTGTTTCATGGGCCGAGACCGGTCACGGTGAAGACGCGTCAAATATGTGAAATAACATCTTATCGAATTATTGCCAAGGGCACCTTATGATGCGCAACATGGTGTTAAAAATTCACCGGGTCAGCAAACCGCCGCCAAGGACGTTTCTGCGACTTGGATTTCTCGGAATTCACAGATGTGATGGAAGCCAAGTGGGACCCGTTCAAAGGCTTCTATTCGAGGGTGTCCCTCCCCGCCGACACCGCACCGCACCGATTCCGGGCACGCGCGCGCACAGACGCGCCAGCGCCATGCCCCGAGGGCGCGGCCGGCGCCCCGCGCGCCCCCGCGGGGACGCTCACCGTGTTGTAAAGCTCCTCCAGCCGCGGGATGGTAAGAAAGTGCTGCATGTTCACCCCGTTTTCGATCAGGAGCTTCACGAAGTCCACGCGATCCAGGACCAAGGCGTCCAGCATGGCCTGCTCCAGCGCGTTCACCTGCACGGGCGGGAGACGGAGCCGGCGCTGGCCTCGGGGGCCTCGCGGGGACCCCGGGAGCGGCAGGCGGGAGACTCTGCAGAGGCGCCGCCTTCTCCCCCACACTCCAGAGCTCTCTGAACGTGGTCGGCCCTGCTCTGACCCCGGCGAACACCTGCCACCTGCCCTCCCGCCCCTTGCTCCTCCGTTTGGCCCCCCGTGGACCAAACCGAGGACCAAAGGTTGGCAAGAGGAGAAAAGTAAGTGATTTTTCTCCTTAAAACAGATCGAAGAGGATTCGGAATGACAGTCGAACCGGCACCATTTTCTCCCGTTTCCGGTTTTGATTTTAATTAAAATCGTTTATTAACGTCGGTCGAAGCGCTCTTCTCAAAACGGAACTGTGATCGCGATGCGTCTCCAAGCCCCCGGCTCCGAGGACAGTGCTTCCTGAGGGGCGGACTGTAATATTCGTCATTTACGTCTCTGTGCTTTACATGCGATGGGACCCTCAGCCCTCGGCGTCGCGTAAGGCTCGCTGGGGAGTTCGTTTCGCTGACCGGGAACAACCCGTGTGGCCGCGGGTGGGACCCAGGGG